AGACAGAGTGTCACAGAGATATAGAAAGTGAGAAATCACCCCTCAGGGGGGATGGCCACGCCACAATCCCTTCTCCTCCATTCTCCTCTCGGGATCTTGGGCACACACACACACGCGACAGGCATGAGTTTAAGCCCCTGGGTTTGAGACTCGAACCACAGTCTATTACATGGGAGTCCAGCTGCGTAGCCATTACGCCATCTGCTGGTCCCTGTAACGAACCATCCTCAAGCACCCACTACAGTAGTAAAATATGAAAAAAACCTCAGCACACCTGATGTTACCACAGCCGGCCCAAGGGGTCCAGCTGGCCATGAGGACCAGGCCGCTGTGCTGGGGAGTGGGCTGGCAGCTACACGGCTTCCTGTCCTAACAGCTCACCCTGACTCCACAGCTCAGGAAAGGCTCACACACGCTCAGTGCAGCGCTACCTCTGCCTGCTCCTCCAGAACTCAGAGGAAGGTCAGAATGGGCTGCAGTGTTCTGAGAGGGCTCTTGAAACAGACAGACCTACAGCCTCACAGGAAGCACGGTATTTGTTCTGGCGAGAGAATGTTACAGGGCGCCGAGAAATGGCCCAGATAAAACGACAGTGTGTGTGTGTGGGGGGGGGAGGGGGTGGGCAGGAAGGAAGGCTGTGCGGCTAGCACCCCAGCCCAGACAAGGATGTGAAAAGAACGGGAGTGATCCGTGGCTGCCCTTGACTAATTTCTGAATGTAAGCAAAGGCGAGGATTCATACCGAGTGTTAGGAGTCTTTTCCCTGACAATTAGCTCTGTATACAACGGCATCTTCTCTCCAGGGGGCCGTAGGTATAGTGCTGCCCCCACGTAAGAATAAACTGTGACCTTCGGTGGCCCCTTAAAGACCGATGACTCATGTTCCATGGGAGACACTGAGAAGTATTCCATTAGAAGCGAATCTGCTTTCACAGCATATTATATGTTTCCTGTGCTTGCCTTCCTTCGTTATCACCAAGGACATTCCCATGAAAGCAAAATTTTGTTTTTCCCCCAGAGTAACCATATTGTTCTGTACTAATTTGCTTTTGACCCGCGAGCTGCCTTTTTTAATTAATTTATTTTTTTAAGGACATTTTTGCTATAGGGTGCACACACTCACTGAGAGACAGAGAGACAAAAAGCAAGAAATCACCCTCCCCCCAGGGGGGATGGCCGAGCCACAATCCCTTCTCCTCCATTCTCTTCTTGGAATTTTAGGCATGCATGCACATGCACCTGGCATGAGGTTTAAGCCACCGGGTCTGGGACTCATACCTTGGTCAAACATGTGGGACTCTAGCGCTGTAACCATTATGCAATCTGCTGGCCCCCTGGTCGCAAGCTGCCTCTGAATGACATCACCATAAGCTCCTAGGGTCTTCCTAGTGGTGTCACAAGTGCCTGATGTAGAATATTGCTGGGCTAACAAATGTGACAACATCAAAGGGCACTGACCGCTTACCGTGTCACTGCGAAGTTTCCGTGAGAGCCCAGCAACCAACTCGCGAGCCCTGAGCCCTCGGAAGCAGTTCCTAACCTGCTTGGTGTAAAAGCAATTGGTGTGTCTTCCAAATTTCCAGGAAGTCACCACTGTCAACCACCCCCTCTGCCACCATTAAAATTAAAAAGAAAAAAAATCCACCTCCCCACCTGCTGGCTAGTGTTGAAAGAATTTAAGAATGCTTCTCTCTCTGATTTTTAACCCCTAATAAATAAGTTCTTTAATAAATCTATGCAAATGTATCTTTCCGAAATTTTCATTACAGTATGACTCAACTTCAGATTCTTTCTTAACAGGTTTTTAAGGGCAAGCAGAAAAAGCATCCTAGTGCACAGGGCCTTTCCCATCATCCCCCTCCTCTTCTGGCAGCTGGAAGCCTCTACCTAGAAGCTGGGCCCACCCCAAATCTGTGCCCAATCCTGACCTGGGACAGAAACCACGTAAGAGGTCCCATCCCATGCTCCCTGTCACACGCTGTCTCCTAGTCCAACCTTAAACCAATCTTAGTCCTTCGACAAGGTACGGATCTTATCCCCACGACTCGGACTCCACCCGCCACTTCTGTTCTGCAATACCCATGTCTCTCCCCGCCACCTGCTCAGAATCCTGTTACCCCAGGGACAGGAGCCGACCTTGCTCCAGCCATGTGCCTAGGGAAATGCGAGTGTGCCCTGACAAAGCCACAGAGCAAGACACGGAACAGCCCAGGCTCTGGATCCAGACAAGGCAGGGTGAAAACAGCTCTCTCTCTCCCTAGCTATGTGACTTCAGGTGTGTGAAAGCCTCCACAGGCCTCAGCCTCCTTGGGGGTGATCGCTCATCCTCACTACATAGAGTAGTTTAGCTCCGCCTGAGAACGGAACCCACGTGCACCCTGATGGAGACGCGAATCACAGTGAAAGCGAGACGACGAAACCGCTTGAACTGGATCCGCAGATACATGGCTGCTCCTTCCTGCGCTGGGACGCACACCAAGGCTCTCTTCCTTGGCATCCATGGGGTTTGATGCACAGAAGGCACTCAGGGGGTCTGGATGGGGGGTCGGCCTGCCAGGTGGACTTTCCTTCCAGTTTCTGCAGTCCACCCTCCTGCCCCAGGGTTCCCTAAACCCTAGCAAAGTACAGAGCACGTGGTTCTAGGTCCTGGTCCCACGCACTCTGAACGGTGCCACTTCAGTGAATTGGGACAGGCACCACCATGTCTCAGATGAGGACCACCACGGTGTGTGAGACCTCATAAGGGAACAGAACAGGGAGCCAAAGCTAACCAGCGCCACCATGCTGGTGCAGTCACGACATTTGTCCCATCGCCGGGAGGGTGTTAGAGCCGCGGACCTCCCTGCGGCACCACAAGGAGACACAGCTCTCACTGTGAACAAAGTGGCGACGTTTCCTAAGGGCATACTCGTTACTCACAGGGACTCAAAACTCAGGGAGAGGCTGACTTCACGACTCATCTACACACACATACACACACACACACACACACACACACACGTTCCTTACACACCTAAAAGAAAACTTAGACGGCGTGGGTTCACGTATGCTGATGTGCTCGGGGACTCATGGTTACAGGCTCTCATACGCTCAGTGGTGGAAGGGCGGAGCCGACTAGCCAACTCTGGGGCTCGCGTGCTTTCTTACTAAACTGAAAACCTCAGCTTTCTTCTTCACGGGTGACTTTCCCCAGAGTCTTTCTAGTGTGATTTTTAAAAAGTAAATGAAAAAGAGTAGATTCTGAGGTTTCCATTGTTGCCAATCTTCGTTCACTACACTAGCATGAGCAGGTGCGAGAGTCGACGTCTCATCCATAAAAACCAGGTTTTGTTTGTAGACGGTTTAGAAGTCCCAACACCTGGCTCAGAGGATGCAATAAGTGAAAAGCATTAATAAAATGATTAAATCATTTCAGATGAACTGAAATTAGAATTCGTTAGGCTTAAATATTACAAAAAATACTCACTTCACAAAAAGACTTCTAAATTTCAGTTCTCATAGATACAAAAAGAAAGTAGTAAAAATAAAAATAAAAAACCAGCAGGCTCTGCTCTTATGCAAAACAACAGAAGAGTCAAGCGTGTCCATGCGGCTCATTATAGGAAACTAAAAGGCAAGTCCTTTCATTAATTTATGTATCAGCAAATGAGCCCAGGTATTAAAAATAAGGCCTCTGGTCAGATTTCTACCCAATCAATAACAAAGTAGTGTTCTCAGTTCTTATACCAATTTACCATTTACCCCATAATTTTTTTAAAAAAAGAGATTTTTGCTATAGGACACGTGCACTCACCAGGACAGGGAAAGACAGAGACAGAAAGTGAGAAATCACCCCCCAGGGTAGAAGGCCATGCCGCAGTCCCTTCTCCTCCATTCTTCTCTCGGGATCTTGGGCGCACACACACACATACACGTACCTGGCGTGAGTTTAAGCCACCGGGTCAGAGACTCAAACTGTGGTTGACTATGTGCAAGTCCAGCGATGTAACCATTACACCATCTGCTGACCCCAAATTGCCCCATAATTTAACCATGGCCAAAAGAGCTATCACAAACTGTCATTTTTCCAACGAGCAGTGTTTACTGGGTGCCAGATCTGGACTGGGATAAAAAAAAAATTCCTGCGCAAACTCTACAGGGATCGGAGTACCTAAGTCATCTCTTTCCAAAGGAAAGAAAATAAATGCCCTAGGAACTTTCTAGAAAGAACTACACCCACCACGGAACCTCACTTCCACCTGGAAAATATTTAGACAAGATTCTGGACTCTGAGCTAATGCTGTAATAGGATACAGCTTTTGGAGATTTGGGAGGGCTATTCTGCATGTGGGAGGGACATGAATCATGGGGGCCAAAGGGTAGAATGTGCCGGGCAGCATCCAGGCGGCCCCCAGTGACCTGGTTATGGCATCACACCCTCATGGAATCACAGACTGGGTCTTCTAGTTCCCCACCGTTGCTCACTCTGATGAAGTCAGCTGTGAGCGTCGCCCCTACTGCACCCACCACGGAGAAGCCCACTTGCCAAAGAACTGACGAGCTTCCCACCAACAGCCCCTGCAAAACTACCCCTGCCAGCAACCACCTGAGTGAGCCTGGAAGCAGGCCCACCCCGGAACATGCCTTAGAATGACTGCAGCCCTAGTCTACACTCGGACTTCAGCGTTTGAAGAGGGCTAGAGCCATAGGACAAGCTGAACTATGCTCAAATCTCTGGTCCACAGAGACTGGGAATTAAATGTTGTTTGGAGTCACTAACTTCGAGGGTAGCTTGTCAGTGCTAACTAAAAGACACTGACACAGATTTTACCACTAAAGCATCATTTGCACAGCGTCACAAGATATAGACTCTGTTTGACAGGGGGAAAGGAAGAGAAAATCCAAGACAGATTTTACTTCTAGAAAATGATATGCAGACACACAGAGGCAAACTTTACTTTCTTAAAATAATGAATACAGGAAACATCCTTCGATTAAAATCGCTACCAAAAATGTTCTCACCTTGAATGCACTGTAGTGTTCCATCCTCCGCTCTGATTGTGAAAGTCTCACCTGGATTCACCTGAACGAGAATAACCTGCCGAAATAACAGAGTAATTACATTCAATGCCAGAACTGAGATTTTTCTTCAAGTTTTATCACTTAAAAAATTATGTAGTACACAAAAAAGGCATACGGCATCTCTTTCATAAACACAAAGCTCAGAGCACGAGTCTTGCATGTGGTTCAAATTTGGGGGTGGCTTGAGTTTAGTTAAATGAACGCTCCAAGTTGCTCACGAGACTATGTCACTAAAACGTTCAACTTAAAAAGACACTTTTATTGAAAAGCACAATTTCTTTTTCTCCATCATGCATTTAGAAACAACACTTGAAGAAGAAAAAGGGTCAGAAACTATAGTTACAACATGAAATTAAACCCAGATAGGAAGTTTTGACCCAAAAATGTTGCACACACTTCCCAAGTGCCTCGCCCGGACCTGGGTTCTATGATTCTACTGTGTAACAATAGGAAGCAATTTTTAAGAAAAGTTCTGGGAAGCAGAAGTATCGGGTTCTGTAGAGGATCTTGAACAGAAATGTACAGGACAAAATAAATGAATAGTATTATGAACAGACCCCACCAAATACCAAATGTTTAAATCTATTACTTAAAGCCAGGGTTTCCCCTATAGGAACATGGATATTTAACATCAAAATCAACTTCCAAAAGACGAGAACATGCACAGTAATAACGAACTTACATCCATCAACTTCATGGCTTTAGTTCTGCTCAAAGGGTAACGAAGGGAAAATCACTCATTTGTATTTGAGTACAAATTAAGGGTCATAGTCTAAACTTTAAAACTACAGTTAAAGGGGGATCAGTGGATGGCATAATTGTTATGTCACTGGACTCTCACGTAGTTGACCATGGTTCAAGATCCAGATGTGGTGGCTTGAAACTCACACCAGGTCCGTGTGTGTGTATGTGCACCCAAAATGCTGAGAGGAGAATGGAGAAGGGACTGTGGTATGGCCATCCCCCCAGGGGGTGATTTCTCACTTTAGGTCTCTCTATCTCTGTCTCTCCAGCAAGCACACGTGCCCTGTAACAAAGACCTCTCTTATAAAACTATAGTTAAAAGTCATGAGGTACAAGGTAGACACTAGAAAAATGACCCTGCTTTTTCGTGGCTACTGACAGGGTGCCAGTGTCACCTTTAACTTACAGTTTTCAGAGCAGCCCCGTTCCTCCTGGACTTGGGACAACGAGGCAGACCATGCCCTCTGTCTCCACTCCACCTCTGCCACCCCCTTCGACTCCTCCCTGACCAGGGATGCACATTCGTTCCTCGCGGTTTCTGACACGCCATCTGCTCTCAGGACAGAGCAGGGACATGTTCTTAGAAAACAAACAAGGAAAAACTCTACTTCTTCCTCCTAGAGTTTAAACTGTAGCTGATTAACTAAGCAACTGTTTTAGAATCATTCTTTCTTTCTTTTAATCTACACACGATAAGGATAAGACCTGTCTGGTCCCACTGCCTGGCATTCAGTAAGTGCACACTAACTGTGAATAAAAGTCATAAAGTACAAAGAAAACCATTGTGAACAATTATTTTAACTCAGAAATTGAAGCTTTCATAAAGTGCAACTTAAAAGCCACCGTTCTTACTTTATAAACCATAATTTATCTGTGTGGTGAAACTGTTCATTGAGAGCAAAGTGATTTCCTATTCTTCGACATCAATGCATTTTGCTTCTTCTAATACTTCACTGAGACACTGCTGGGGCATTAAAATTTTAAAAATCAGAAAAGACATTAGCTGGAAAAAAAACAGGATCATTCGAGAAAAAGCCATCTAAGCATTATCCCTGGCACATCATGACCGTGAATTTTAACAGCGATGTCAAGGCAATTCATTTTTCCTGTACAGTGACTGTGTCAATAATCTTTCAGTCGCTGGTATTTAAATTCTCACCAATGTAAACACAGAACACCATTTTAAGAACTCAGAAGGAAATTCCTTCAGATCTCTAATGATTAAAAAGTTTCCACTGCTGTCTTGACAAGGAGCTCTTAAAGACATTCCTTAACATGAGCATCATTTTGAACTATTTCTGCATGTACACAGAACACCACTACATTGGAGTAAAACAATTCTTCAATTAAAAAAAAAAATTACCCAAGTCTTTTACAAGACCTTAGGCCAATCCTGGACCTTACTGTAAAAGCCTGTAATAATAGAGCAGACACCATCTGCTTTGTTCATAAGCCTGCAGCGGCGGCCTTATACGCTGAGGAATTAGTCGGAGTGGCAGAGGGTCAGTGGACACCCAGATGCCATGCCCAGATTCTCTTTGACAGTTCCAAATTGTGATGCCCTCTTCGACCACATTCATAACTGCTAGACAGTGAGCTCCAAACACCCGTCTGAAAAAGACAAGTCAGCAATATCATAGAACGCTTCGGGACCAGCAGTTGCTGTAATGGCTAGGGCGCTGGGCTCCCATGTAGTTGACCATGGTTCGAGTTCTGAACCAGGTGGCTTAAACTCATACCTGGAGCATGTGCATGTGATCCCAAGAGGAGAATGGAGGAGAAGGGATTGCGGCATGGCCATCCCCCCGGGGGGTGATTTCTCGCTTTCTATCTCTCTCTCTCTGTCTTTCTGGTGAGTGCATGCGCCCTATAGCAAAAACCTCTCCCCCCTAAAAAAAAAGTTTCAGGCAAAAAAAGCAGGGGAGGGGCAAAGAAGGGAAGGAATTTCTGATTTAGGAGATGTTCGTGGTTGTCACACTCTCTGCTTGTCATACTGCATCAAAAGTATTGGTAATGGCTCCTTACCTTAATGTCACTGACACCAGGCTATTATTCAAAGAACAGCCTAGAGACGCCCAGCCTCCTGCGACCACGTACACCTGCCCCCCCATGCCCACCCCCAGCTCACTGTGCACCAAGCCTGACTCCCGCTCTACATCTTCAGGGAGAAAGATGAGAGGTGAAAGGCTTTAAAGCATCCTACTAAAATACCTCTCTTTAAATGTTTAGTTCATGTCATTTTCACTGCTGCTGAGTTGCCATGGCAACCAGATTATAATCTACCAAGTTACCCCAGAAACCAGACGAATCTCCTATGTCCTAATACCAATTTTTCTTAGCAAGAGTAAAAGTCATTATTTACACAAACCATATTCATCCTGGAACTGTGCTGGTTTTTAAAAGAAAGCACTTGATTAAACCGAGGGAGGCTGATGACCACCTTGCCTTTTTCAGCGTCAAAAAGGCAGAGATACAAAGGAAGTTTGGACACACAGCAGCCCGATGGGCTGTCCCGACAACAGGCACGAACGAGCCGGCGTGGGCCTGGCCTGACAGATGCTTGCAGCCCCAGGCCCGTGAGTCACCCTGGCAGGCTGGCTGGCACTTAACTTTCTCCGTCATGCGAGCTGGTCACTGTCTCTCCTCTCCTTCCTTCCCTCTCCAGCCACAAAGCAGACACAACTGCCTTGAGTTCTCTTCAACACTGAATGTAAAAATGTAGCATCAAAGCCCAAACCTTAGCATTTTTGTCCACTTACTAAACATATCCTGGTTTTCCGATGTCAGCAGTAAATCAATTGCTCCTGCATTCTATGTCTTCTCAGAAGAGGGAAAAAACACATTTTTTTGGGTTTTTTTTTGGAGAGGTTTTCGCTATAGGGCACGTGCGCTTGCCAGAAAAACAGAGAGAGACAGAGAGACAGAAAGCGAGAAATCACCCCCCAGGGGGGATGGTCACGCCGCAGTCCCTTCTCCTCCATTCTCCTCTCGGGATCTTGGGCATGCACGCACACGCACTGGGTCCGGGACTCGAACTGCAGTCGGCTACATGAGAGTTCAGCGACATAGCCATTACGCCTACTGCTTTTAATTACTCGCTGACACTTCCCAGGTGTTAACAGAACCATACTAATCAGAGCGTGGAGCAGATCTCAGGCTACCAGCACTTAATCAGACCGGATTCAAATCCGCTAGTGCTCCAAGACCCAGGAAGCCTGAACTATGGATAAATACAAGGTAGTCTGTCCAGGGTTCATGAAGAAGGGCCATTCTCAATAAAACAAGAGTTAAGGTTTAATACAGCGGAACAAATGGCTGGGCGTAGCATCCTGGGAGCACTTGACCCGACGAGCGAAGCGACACGAGGCAGGACAGGCTTTCGTTGCAGGTGCGGTGGAAGTCTAAGTCTCATTCTGCTTTCGCCATGAGAAGAAGGTTGCCATTTACAGTTCCAGTGGTGGATTAAACGACAGATCCACACACGTGTCTAGGACTAACCCCGGAGGCAGATTCCTGATTTGTCTCAAATTTAAAAACCTCACCAGACACCTGACTAAGCCGTCACGGCAATGAATCAGTCCATCAGAAAAGATTCTGTTGGGACCAGCAGTTAGCATAATGGCTATGTCACTGGACTCCCATGTAGTCAACCGTGGTTCAAGTCCCGGACCCGGTGGCTTAAACTCACGCCAGGCGCGTGTGCGTGCGTGTCCAAGATCCCGAGAGGAGAATGGAGGAGAAAACAAGAGTTAAGGTTTAATACAGCGGAACAAATGGCTGGGCGTAGCATCCTGGGAGCACTTGACCCGACGAGCGAAGCGACACGAGGCAGGACAGGCTTTCGTTGCAGGTGCGGTGGAAGTCTAAGTCTCATTCTGCTTTCGCCATGAGAAGAAGGTTGCCATTTACAGTTCCAGTGGTGGATTAAACGACAGATCCACACACGTGTCTAGGACTAACCCCGGAGGCAGATTCCTGATTTGTCTCAAATTTAAAAACCTCACCAGACACCTGACTAAGCCGTCACGGCAATGAATCAGTCCATCAGAAAAGATTCTGTTGGGACCAGCAGTTAGCATAATGGCTATGTCGCTGGACTCCCATGTAGTCAACCGTGGTTCAAGTCCCGGACCCGGTGGCTTAAACTCACGCCAGGCGCGTGTGCGTGCGTGTCCAAGATCCCGAGAGGAGAATGGAGGAGAAAGGATTGTGGCATGGCCATTCCCCCTGGGGGCTGATTTCTCGCTTTTTGTCTCTCTGTCTCTGTCTTTC